TATTAACACTTTGGTTAATAGCTTTCTGAATAGAGCTGGATGAGTTTGCAAGAGCAGAGTCCTAGGCACTGATCCTGGTCTTTGTGAGATCTGGAATAAATTCACTGGTGTCAGTGTAACACATTATTCCCAACTTTGTGAATAATACATTTTTTAAGAAGCAATTTATACAGGCCAGGTTCTGCTTTGATCTTCATGACCATGGACCTGGTAAAATGTCATTTGTGTTAGTGGTGTCTCTGGGTTTACATGAGTGTCGCTGAATTAGAGTTGTGGGGCAGGAACCAACTACAATCTGGCTTTACATTGCTTAGTGACATAGAATGGTAGCTGGGGACCTAAAGAAAAGTTGGTACAGAAAAGCTTCATTAAAAAAAAAAAAAAAAAAAGAAAAAACATTTTTAAATTTTTTTTTACTTTGCTTTCTTAACAGCACCTCTTGGGCCACTGTTAACATATGGTATATCTACATCCTTGCAGAATATAGGTGCCTTAATTAAGCTGGACACTGGATAGCAATTGGACAAAAAAACTTTATTAAAAAAAAAAAAAAAAAAAGGAAAAAGCATTTTGACATTGTTGTTACATTGCTTGCAATAGTACCTGAGCTGGCGTGGCTAAATGAGCTGTCCTCAGCTGTGTTTATAGGACCTATGGTGGCAGTGCTGCCTGCTGTATAGACCCACAATTGTCACCGCAGTCCAGGCTCCTGTGCTGCTGTTGCTGCTAAACTGCTGATCTCACTCGGGTGGACACCAGCCCAGCACCACAGCAACCTGGCCAATGTGGGCTGGGCTTGGGAAACCCAACAGTACCCCAATGGCAGTGGTGGAGATGATGGCATAAATAAGTCTATGTGTTGGGGTGGGTGGTTGGGGGAGAGCTGCCTGAGCAAACCTAAGGAGAGGGGCTGAATTTCTGCAAGGGACAATTGTTTTCTTAAACGTCCAGCATTTCAGGTGCGTTGGAACATAATATACTGTTTCATTGCCATAATCTTTCTGAGGGAGAGAGACTATGATGCCTTTTTCATAGAGATGCTGTAGAATGGATTTACCAAGACCGTAATTTTCAAACATTGGAAAATACAATTCTGCCTTAAATCTGCTTTGGATGCTTCAGCCTTAAACTTTTTTATTTCAGAGAGGTGACAGAGGTCACAAAGGAAGTCAGCTGGAAGTTCTTTGGTTTAATCAACCGTTTTGTCATTTTAATGAGAAGGCCGTTTGTCCTTTATATTTCTTGGTCAATTACACTATGTGAAAAGCCCCTGCAGCAAAACTTGTAGGCATCTGCCTAGCTTTGGGGAGGTTTGGAAACTTTTGCATGCTAAACCAGAATTTCTTCAACACAGTGCTGCCATGGCAGGCCCCAGTGCAGCAGAAAGAAGGTCTGGTGAAAATGGCCAGCTCATATCCTGCACAGTACCTTGTGCACAGTCACCCCTTCGAAACACTGGTCCAGTGGCTGCTGGCAAAGACTGCTCCAGTCACTGAGTGACAGGGCAGTGTACAACAGCTGGTAATGGAAGCCTGGATGAAAAAGTGTCCTTCTTCTCCGAGGAGCTACTTTCCTTTTTTTTAAAAAAAAAAAAAAATGGGAGAGAGAAAAAAAGGGTTCTCCCCTCCCCTGGGTACATTCTGCTCAATGCTTTTCAAGCATTTTGAAATCTCTGGCACTTCTCATCTTTGAATTCAGAGAACCTTTGTCTGAGGTAGTAAAATCACTGGGCTAGCTAAGCCTGTTATCTAGTGGAAAAGGATTAGTTTTCTTTCGATTATGGGAATGACCTTATAGAGAGCATTTGAAAAAGGCACATTTTGCCTGCCATCAGCCGTGTTTTCCACCATTAATCTGCTTAACCAGAAGATGAGATTTTATTTACTTGTTTTCTCAGAAGGTATATGAGAAGGATTTTAGGACTTGATTCTCCTTGGGTTTGTATTAAAACCTTCCATAGAAATTTCATGGACTGAAATGTCTTTTTGTTTTAGACTGGTCAAGCAGGAAGGTAATAAGGGACACCCTACCAATAAGGAAGGGAAAATGACAACTTCTTACTGCAGCACAATGTGCCCTCTGAGCTTGTTTCTGACCCCTCCTGCTCCAGATTAAATGCCCCAGGTGTTCAGGAGAATCCCTTTGAATTTCTACCTATGTGAAGGAGTTCCTGGCCCCTGTCTTAGGCAATGTGAATTACCTTTCTAACCCATATTGTCCTAAATAGAGGCGAGGGAGTTGGCAACTTCTCAGCTCTCTATGGTATCCCAAACTTTGATGTCCCAGTGCAGATGCCTCTGTCTGAGTTGCTCACCTGGGGCTCATGCATGACCAGGGAAGGTGAGCGGGCCTTCATCCCATCTTGAAGCACAATCATAGATAGCTCAGATTAATTGCAGCCCGAGTTTCTGCTTAGACTACACTGGATGCTTCAGGTGTTTGGTCCCAGTGTTGGTGTCATGCTTCATCAGTCCTCTTAGGGTGCTCACAGCCCTGATGTCCCTGGGGACCTGGTCCCAAGGCCTTCCCCCACCCTGCCCACAGCCCAGGACCCTATTTGAGCTCATGGATGGGGACTGGCCATTCCCTCTGGTGGAGAGCAGGAGTTGGGGATGCAGAGGTTGGCAAAATCACCAACTTGTGTTGCCTGTTTGGAGCTAGAAGAGGATCAATGGCTTGGCTCATCCTGTGGTCGGGAGCTGCTGTCCTGCCAGTGGCTGAGCTGCAGTGGTGGGGACCCTTCCCTTGCCCGCAGACAGTGCCACCAGCCTTCCTTGGGGTCTTGGGATGGTTGTGGGAGCACGTGGCTGCCAGTACAGCCTGGGAGGTGACACTTGCACTGCTGTGCCTCTGAGGGACTGTGTCACCTTTTATGGGATGACACAACAATGTAGATTCTGCAGAAAACCCATAAATACCAACTCAGCAGAAGAAGCCTAAATCTGCTCCTGTAGCCCTGTCTATCTGACTGCTTTCCCAGCGCCCCTCATTCTCACTGAGCTGTGGTACAACCTATTACTGCATCCCCCGTGTCACACTGTGCAGAGCACTCTCATACCTTGAACATAAAAGATGCTATAAAAATGTAATTATATTCTATATTTGATGTTAATATCATATTCTCTCAACTAATGGAGGACTTTGCAGTGCCCATTTAATTTCTCTAATGTTAACTTTCTAGACAAATTTAGCTATGGTACAAAGGTTTTATGTGGAGCAGGATTTTTCCTTTTAATTTCCTTCCTGTTCTTCCTTTTCAGCTGAAGGGCTGATTTGGTGGTGCACACTGTTCTCCTTGCTAGCTGAATTCAGCAAAAATGGCAAGAAGCTGAAAGAGCGATAGGGCCGCCTGTCTTCCACCTTGACCCTTGTTGCAAGTCTGCATTTTTTATAAACTGGAATATTCGCAGTCTGGGTTACTGGTGGCTGTGGACAAAGAAATCACCATTTTCCTCAACAATCCAGTATGATGGAGAAATTTATTTACAGTGCGTCACTTGAAATGTATTTAGCTAGTTGTTAAGCCCTGCCTTAAAGTTTAATTTAAGAATTAGGAAATGTTTACCTACTCCATCTTGACCGTCTGAGGGCAGTGTCACCTAATACTTGCTAGAAGTTATATGCCTGGTCACTGCATACTGTGTGCACTGCACTCACCCTCTAAGGATGTCACCCAAAACTCACAGCTGTGAAAAAGAACCTTTCCACACATCTTAACTGTGTGTTGGACTTGGATATATTGCACTCATTCTCTGGGCCAGAGTGTCTATTGGTGTAAGCCTTCAATGGCACTGAATCCATCCACCGGATGGATTCATAGACCTGAAACTGGATGGGACCATGACTGATCTTTGGGTTAGACCCCTCATAGACATCTAATGTAGACTGTAGCAATACAAAGCGCTTTTTGAATTAAGCAGTTTATGCTTGGCCAGAGCATGACTTTGGGAAGACTCTTCAGTCTTGTTTTAATGATCTCAAGAGATAAAGAATCTATAGCAGTTTTTGATAAATTGTTCCATAGGCAATCAAGCTCACTGTTAAAAACATCCATCTTATCTTAGACTAAATATCTCTAAGTTCACATTCCACCAGATACTTGGTTGCTCAGAGTAAGCTGTCCTTCACTTAATTTTGCCTTTGTTGTTAATGCTAACTGTATGTTGTGGAGCACAGCAAACCACCAGACCTTTTTGTGGGTGTTTTTATTAATTACATGCTCGCAGGCAACTATCTCTTTTCCTTTAATTCCATCTCATCCTGAAACAAAGCCATCAGTCTGTGATTGAAAACAGGGGTTTTGGGCAGGAAGGGATGGGAAATCCTATGGAAGAGGCATCAATGGGAAAGGAAATATGGGGCTTCTGGAATGGGGAGACCCTTCATAGATTTCCTCCTCTGGACTTAAGGTGCATAGGATGGGGATGATAGGAAAACATGGAAGACAATAGAATGATGATGGTTTGTATCAGCTAAGAACCTGACCTCATGCTTATGCTTTATGCAGGGCAAGTTGTGGGCAACTGAATAGTGTCATGGCTGTGTTTCAACTCACATACATATGAGATTACATAGGATAGAAGGTACATTTATATAAAGATGTACCTCGAACACAGTCTTTCTTGTTTTGCCTGGACTATTTACATGAACACCACACAGGTATAAGTTCCTCTTTAAACTGTGATGGAAACCATTGCAATGTGATTTCTTCTGGTGGCAAATGGCAGAATATGTTGATTTTGAAGAGACAACAAAAGAGATAAAGTAATGAGACGGTACCTTCTAGTCCTTCTCTAGCAACACAGATATTAGGTGGCAAAGTTCCAGATTAGTGTTAAAGAACCAGGAAAAGGAAAAAGGATAATTTTGGCAGAGAAGTGTAAAAAAACTAAAGGCTGTTCTGATCAGCACAGTAATCCCAGTGTGTTGAGTTGTTCACCCTGAACCTGTTATCAGCTTAAAGCATTGAATGTAATGGATTCTTCTTTTATATTTTACAGATGATTGGTGCTGAGAAGGCTGGACGTTGGCAGCAGAAGTACAGTGGTAAATATGATACATTGAAATACACACATTTAATTAAACACCAGTGTATCAAATGTATGTTATTGGATGTTTAGGCACTAGTAACCAGCTCTGGGCACAAAGGGTGATTCAATAACACTCTGGAGAATAATTTTGGAAATAGAAAAAAATTGCTGGCAATTTGATGCCTGCTGGGCGGGAAGTTGGCTCAGCTCTTTCTCTTTACTTCATGTTTTTAAAGACCTTATATCATGTGAAAACCACTTGCAATATTGAACTGAAATCAGAAAAGTCTGGTTTAGGGTGGTACGGGGCAGTGGTAAGGGAGTTGTCACTCTGACCAGACCACTTACTGAATTACAGCTAGTCCCTGGACTCCCTGCTTAACCCCACTGGAGCTCCCCGCTGTTGCGGCTTCCTCTCTGAAGAGCCTTCCAGCAACTGCTCATTTTGGCAGGATCTCCTTCCATCTGCTCCCTTGCCTTGCCTAGGCTCGACCCAGAAATCCTCTGTGTGTGTGAGCAACCTCTACCAGTTCTCCAGCCCAGGCTCCCTGCCTGGCTGACATCTCAGAAGCCCTACATCAGCAGGCAGGAAAGAGTAGAAGGGTATTATTTCTCATACTCAGCTTTTCTTCTCTTTGGCCGGAGTCATCCATAAGCCCAAACAGTTGTACAGTTTTCCTCTCTCAGTTTTCCATCTTTTCTACTCTGAGTAGTCCTCCTGCAGCCTGGTGTGTACATCCTCTCTCTGCCTGCTCTAACTCCAAGTCTGCCATAATCAAACCACTTCTGTCTCGTCTTCCCCTGTGTCAGTGACCCTCTCCTTCAGCTTTGAATGCAGGAATGAGAAGCTGCCTGCTATGTGAACAAAGGCAGTAGGGTATAGGACCCACAGAGCAAAAACATGAAGCTCTAACTTCCATGTGTTCAACTTGGGCTTTATGGCTACTTAGGGCTCTGACTTGCATGAGATTCAGGCACTCATAGAAAGCCCTGGAAATCCCGCAGGCCTTAGAAATTGCCCTTTGCATGTTTAGCTTGAAAACCAACTCATGTTCCACTTATCCAGCCACAAGAGACTTGGGTTGCACGTGAGACATGCTTAACAGTCTGTACCAGCCCCCATGTCTTGGCTGTAGTCTGAAAAAACATGTGGCTGTGGTTTTGGTTGCTTCCATCTGCTTTAACAAGGGCTGGTATAAATAGCTGTCTGGGTCTCTACCTCTTACCTCGCTTTGGTTCATGCTACTAGACCCATCTCATAGTAGACCTCTCTCCATTGTGTCTCTTTTGGTTAGCTACTAATGCCTTTCCTACATTGTAGCTTCTTGGTTTCCCACCACAGTACTGCTGCATTTTCTTACCATTTGGCCTGGAAGATGCAGTATTGACTCAGAAACTGAAGAGCTTTTAACCTTATTACCTTGAGTAGTGGCCCACACCAGCAATAAAAAGGAGAGGGCTGAAGAAAACCTCAGTGATGGTACTGTTGCAGCAGATGATTTATGCGTTGTTTTTTTTTGAAAGAAAGATTAATGATGAAACATCTTCCTGAAGGACACACTGAAAAACTTTATGCAGAGTGTGTTACCAGCATGCAGAATAGGATGTGTGCACCAGCATGAACCAGTCTGCTCTTGGGACTTGATGCCATCTTGCTTGCAGATTTTTGTATTGTCTGGAAGAGAAATGGAAGAAGGTGGGAGGACATGTTAGACAGAAGCTGATGCACCAGAGAGGGCAGGCTCAGATAGAGTGCTGGAGTGAGATAGGAGTGCAATGTTTCTTCTGTGATGGTCACGGAGAGCTTCAAACCCAAAACTGTGGAATGGAGTTGTGAGTTGGCCAGATGGAAGCATGTCTTCACTCCATGGTACATGACAAAGCGACTTCGTCGTGTTCTGTCTTTACTCTCAGCTGTGCTTGGCAACTTCATCCACATCCTGGGAAGAATGGACAGGAGGAAGTGCAGAGGGGAGCCGGTGGGCAGGTGAGTTACGGGGTTTGGTTTATACTGTGCTTGGGGAAGCTGTTCAGCTTTGAAGGAAAATATCTGATTGCTGAGAAAGACTGTACAAAATAATTATGCTTATTTTTTAGAACTGCATCACCACTTCTCAGTATTTCTTTTACTGCTGTTTTTCTGCAGAGTCCTATGACAGTAACCCTTCCCAGATGATGGCATAATGGCTGCAGCTTGCTCTGTCACCTATTTATGTGGCAGGTGGGGCTAACTAAGCAGTTAGGAAATAGAACCACTTTCCTGATTGGGGTCAGAAGGTAAAACACAATAAACTCTGTTTTCAATATGACAAGTCTTTGTTTTTATTGTTGTTTATACATACAGTTGCCACCAGAAATAACTTTGGTTCATTTGTAGTTTCCTTTTCTGGTTGGCACACAGAATTTAGCTATTCAGTTCTTTGATGTTCCAGCAAATAGCCAGACAATTTTTAAAATAAATGTTCTCTTAGAGTTTGTGTATTTTTCCTTCTGTTCATTTCTGGGTCTGGGAAAAGGAAAGAGACTTCAGAAGCTGCCCAAGTTTATTTTAGAAGCAGAAATATATTTGCCATTCTTTTTTTCCCCTGTACCACAGTATTGTTTTCTCCATTTTATTGCCTTAGAGTTGATGTCAAATATGATTTTTTTAGGGCAAGCTTTTGTTTTTCAGGATTTCTGAAGCACCTTTTTTTTCTGCATCATAGAAGTCAGAATCCATTTACTGCCAGATGAGTAATATTCACCTATGTTACTTAATTGGAAGTTTACAAGACTCTACATATACTTGATCCTAGCAAAACCTTTCTCTTCTTTCTCTCGTCTCATTCCTCCATTGTTCACCTTGCTTTCCTGGGGACACAGGGCTTATGCAGCCTCAGCCTCTCTCGGTCATTCTGGTAACTTTTGAACTAGTTTGTCAATTTAAATCAAAATTACAGGAGGTCAAAAGAGAGGTTCCTGCACATTTAATGAAAGTAGGAGATCTGTTAACAGATGGCTGCACTAACAGTATTGGCCACAGTCCCGTGTCCTCCTGCATGCCCTGTGCAGCTTCAGGCACGAGGAACGGACGCTGTGCTTGGAGCTGAATCCCTCGGTGATTCCGGGCTGGCTGAAATGCAGCAGCCATGGCCACATGCTTTGTCCTGCGCCGTCAACTCAATTGCCACCTCCTGCCTCAGGCTGTGGCTACCGCAGAGGAGAAGCACTGTGCAGAAGGAGAGGACCTTTTGGGAAGAAAATGCAGAACTCCACCAGCTGGCATTGCACTAGTGGACGGGCGACGTCACTGTCTGCTGTGTCCATGCCAGCTCTCGAGCCACTGACAGACCTAGCAAAGCTTCCCTTTCGGAGCAGTCAGTTGCCCCTAGAGGAATTTCAAGGATCGTATGACATTACAAGGAGCTTTTTTAAAAAGTGAATGGCAAGACCCTCTACCTAGAAAGCTTCTCAGCACATAACATATATATCTATATCAGAGAATTGCTAGAGCCAGTTTGAAGCAGAACATGACACTGTGCATGGCTTTGGTATACTATCATTGATACGCTAATACACCTTCACTGGAGGCTCAGATGGCTGGAATGTACATATGGGAGGTGTCTCCCTGCTCCTCAGTCCTTGGGAAGGCAATCTTGAATGGGCTCTGAACCCCGTGATGCTCAGTGGTTCTTGAATCACAGAATCACAGAATCACACAGAATCTTAGTGGTTGGAAGGGACCTCTGAGATCATCGAGTCCAACCAGAAAAAAAAAAAAAGAAGTATTGGGCACTAGAGCATGCCCTGAAGAGCCACGTCTACACGTTTCTTAAACGCCTCCAGGGATGGTGAATACCTCCGGGGATGGTGAAATACCTCCGGGGATGGTGAAATACCTCCAGGGATGGTGAAAAACCCACCCAGAGCTCAGCGTTTGTGAGTGGGGTGTCCTGCCAGCCGCTGCCTGCCCAGGGACACGTGCCTGAGGGCACTGCGCTCTCAGCAAGGATGGGTGTAACAGACCACTAACTTCTTGGGATCAGAGCTGGCCAGCCTAACTCGGGCATCTGACCTTGGGACATGACTTGCACTGACATTTTGGGACCCAGTGAAGCGTCTGTGCTCCCTGCCCACAGGGCGGGCAGAGGCAGCAGCCTGTGCCTCGGCAGGCAGGGTGCCCCGGGCTTTCAAAAAGCTCTCTTATGTTTGCTCTGCAGAGCATGGGTATTTACTTCCAGCTTCTGCTTTGTTAGGCACCTTATATTCGATGGGCCTGTAGGCTGGGTGATTTGGATGCTGCTCTCTTAGTTCAAACATATATTTTATTTTTTTTTTGCAGACTAGCAGCTGCAAGCCCACGTCTGCAGGGTGCTCCTACCCACTGCAAAGGGAAGAATGGCTCACTGCTCAGGCATAAAAACACTCACTGCTGAAGGCATTGCTGTGGACTTGGGCAAAATGTGCTTTGTCATTACGGGCAATTTTCCTATCACTGCTCCCAAAGCTATGCCTTTGTTGGGATGTGAGGAAGCCTTCTATGTCTTGACTCATCTCGAAGTTTCTTTAAAAAAAGGCCAGCAGTATGCACTTGTGTGGCTCCAGGTACGGCTGGCAGGATGGTAGCACCTCAGAGGCTTTTATTTATTCCTAAAAAAATAAGAATAACCTGTAACCTTTCTTCCCAAGTGATTTTCTTATTTTAGACATCATCACACCAATATGAACAAGGGGAGCTGAAGAAACAGCTATAAATTGCAGTAAGATATACTTATTTCTTATATTCTTGCTGAAATTTTATGATGTGTTTTTAGTCGTGATTAGTCTTGAGGCAGAAAACTGGCTAAAGCAGATTTTTTATCAAATGTGCAATGAACTTCAGATTATTTCCCTGGTTCTACAGCTATTTTTTCAGAGGAAATTAAAGAGAAAAAACCCGATTTTTAGGGCCTGTCACTTAGCAGATAGCCTCTCAGTTAAATGATCTTTTCTTATCTGCTGTGGTTTTGGAATGTTTGGCACTCATTGCTACAAATATTGCCATTTATTTTTCAATCATCTGAATCCATCTCACTGTGGAAGTCAAAGCACATCGTATCTATGGTCCAGTTCTGAAAAGATATAAACGTGGGTTCATGGATTCTTAAATTCGTATATGAAGTTAAACATCTATTTAATTTTTTGAGGAATGCCCTGTGAATCCCAACAGTTAATTTAACTCTGCAGTCAGACTAGTTAGTTAATGTCTGTAAAATATATTAGAGAAGTATGAATCAAAATTTAGTTACAAAAAAATTTGTATTTTTAATTTAAAAAAAAATCTCTTTATTGGGCCAGTAGAAATGTATGACAAAACAAAAAGTAGACCAGAACCTAGAATAATCTTATAGAAACAATAGATCAATGAAATAGGAGAAGAATGTAACCTATGGACTAAGATCCTTCTCTTTGTGAAACCTAAGCAGAGGCAGACCTTGCTTCTAGAAGGCAGTGACTGGAAAAGCCAGAGCACGAAGATGCTCCAACTGACTTCATGTTTTTCCAGGATTTACAAATCAATATCTTCACAGGGGGCATTACCTCCCTGTATTCTGCATGTCTCACTACATATTCAGTATCTTAAAGGACTAAGTAATTTAAATGCCTCAACTTTTGAGTTTTAAAAAAAGTCCAGTTTTTGGTCAAATATCAAATAATAAACACATGTGGGTTATAGGATATACTGCCTATTTGTTGCTTCTCTGTAGAGTGACTCACGTTATGACAGTGGCTCTGCGGCCAGCTTCCCACTTTAGGGATAGATATTCTCTCAAAGCTGAGCATGTTTCATAGAGAAAAATACCTTCCGTTTTGATCCTTGGATAAGTCCACTCACATTGAGAGGAGAAGACTCAAGGAAACAATCCCTAGATAAATAATAAAATGTATAGAGGCTGTTGTTCTTTTTCTTGGTCCTCACTCTGTTGCCATCTTCAATTGCACAGCAAGCAGCAACACTCGGGAAGCAATAAACAGCTCTGGCCGCCTGACAGTAACCTGAGGCTCCATCATGCAGAACAGAAAATGAAAGGTAAGGACAAATTCAAAGGGAATGCAGGGTACAGTGCAGGAGAAACCTACTTAGTAAATGTTTATAAGTGGGACAGTTCTTGAATGTGCATAAGCACGTTAGAAAATCAATAAAACCTCTGGGGCCCCTGTCTTTTCAGACAAGAGCCTGAAAAGTCACTTTTTGCTCGAGACATCTCTACTGCAAGTGTGTCTTCAGACACGAGAAAAGAGTTGGAAGTGTACAGAGTAGCAGATGACAAGTACACAATAGTGATGAATGTGAGCTAAAAAAAAAGGGAGCGATACAAAGATTATACTTAAAGCCCACACTGTTAATTGGAATCAAGTCACAGTACTTTCTTTCTTGGAAAAAGAATAGTAATTTGTCTTTAGCTTTGGCAGAAGAACAGCATGCATAAGAGCAAATAATATTTGAAAGTAGAACAAGCCGACATGGCACCAAGTGAGATAAATGCTTATCTCATAATCATTAACTCCTGGCCTAGCTATTGCTTTGCATTGCCAAAAAATCAGGATTTGGAGAGGAATTACATAGACTATAAATAATAGTTCCAAGGAGCAGCATCAGAAAATAGTTGTAACTCTGTTTGCCTGTGATCATTAAAGTACTGTAAAAACAAAGAAATAAAGCACATCTCCTCTTGGTGGTCCTAAATCCCAGATTTGGTGTGGTAGCTTCTAATTTTTGCTTATTCATGAGCCAAGTGCCTGCTTCTTTCCATCATTACCTGCCCGAACAGAAAAGCCCTGCTGTTCCTAGAAGGGAGAGAAAGTGGTTGCAGCACCTTCTAGATGACAGATCAAAAGTGTTCTGGACTCCTGCCTCAGAATGAAGCTGATCTACTGCGTTAAGCCATCTATTTAGCAAGATAACCATCTGTCCAGAATAGGCTTGATGAGGTAATGGTTGTATTAATTTCTTATAATAAGTTAGATGAACAGATGAGGCTGCCTGTGGCATTCAGATACGAGTATTTGACCTTTACAAAATTACCTGCTTTCCTTTCTTGTGTAAAACTTGATGATTTTCAGTGTAACAGAAGCATTTATTGGATGAATTTTACCAGGACTTTGCAGTGAGCATGAGACAATGTCAGGGAGGTAGGTCCGAACTTGTTTTTCACATGTGCAGAACAGGCACTTTTTAATCACTAAGGCTAAAGCAAAAAAAGGTTGTTTCCTTCTGACTCTTCTATTTCCTCTACACTGAAGGACATTGCATGCTATCCACATGTTCTTCTCATTCTACTAGATGACACTAAACTTCCTGAAAAGCTACTTGCTCTTGATTAGAAGAAGCTACCGCTTTCCTTGGTAGCTTGTCCAAAAGTTGCCAACCACACTGTTTAGAAGTGGTGACCTGTTCCTTAGCTGCATTTCCTTCTTAAATTTCCACCCACTAGTTTTGCCTGTGCCTTTCTCCTTGAGCT